AAAACTATTTAAAGGCTACGGAGCCGCAGATGCGGCGAGAGGATGGGGTGGGCTCGTCTCTGAGCACCCCAGCTTCCCCGCAGGCCCAGGTCCTCTGCTCCGCTCCGGGCTAGGAGGTGGCCCCCTGGTCCCAGCGCAGAGCTGCGGTGCAAGAAGAGTGGAGCCGAGCCGGGGAGCTCCGGGCATGGCCACGGCCTCTCGCCGCGCCCACTTTGCACACCCGCTCTCCGGCCCGCGCCCCTGTTTACAGCGTCCCTGTGTATGTCGGACTGACTGTATAGAATTATAAATCTGTCTATATCGACTTGTCCATGTACGTCTATTAAAACCATAGTACGAGCGTGCTAACCGCTGCGGAGCCCTGACTGCTTCATTCGGCTGAGGAGGGAGGTGGGTAGAAAGGGAACTTCGCCACCAAGGGCCCTGAGGGTAGGAGGGAAGAGCAGAGGCAGACCCCGCCAGGGCCCATTCCCCCACTTCCCCACCACCTTTCCCGACCTTTCTGCCGGCTCCCGTGAGGGCGCTGCCGGGCATTCTCGGCTCCCAATCTCTGCTTCGGGCGCTCACCGTCTGGGCTGCTCAGCCTAGGCGTTGCATGCGTGGGCCGCCCTAACCGGGGCCTCCTCCCAGCCCCCCTCAACACCCCGGCGCCAGGCTCTGCAGGCTCTCAGGGTTTGCGCGATCCTTGTCTGCCCAGGGCGTTGGGATGGGACCGCTGAGAGCCTCTCTAGGTCTAGGGTTGCCTTTTCTCCTGTGGGCCCGGTATCCCCACCTTGGAGCCCTGCCCTAGCCATTCCAGGAGGGTGCTGGATCTACCAGGGTCTAGCCAGGGCTCCCCCCTCTTTTCTCCCCGCCCCACAATCCCACCCAGGAGCATGTGGCTTGCCGGGGAAAGCGTCCATCACACAGAACTCACTTCTCACTTCCCTTCCATACCAACTTGTTGGAGGCTCCCGGCTGCCTCCACCTTTCCCCACTTTTGGAAACTGCTGAACAAGACCAGCCTGTAAACTGCCTGTGAAGTTCTGCTTTCCTTAAGTAAGTCGCTTCTAATGGCGATACAAAATGTTAGTAGCTGCAGCCGGGAGAAAGGAAGGGCTGGTAATTCTGCTTTAGAATCACCTTGAGACAGGGATTGGCACTGCCCTGGAGCTGGACCCAGGCAAGCCCTAGCTGGGAATGGGGCGCATCCATGGGCTTAGTCATGAGCTAATAGCTGGAGAGCCCTGTGCACACATTCTCAAACCAGGTCAACACTGTGTTGTCCCTATTATACAGATGATGGAACGGAGGCTCCACCACATGATGTAATTGGGCCAAGGTCACACAGAGACAATAGTCTTTAGATTCCAAAGCCAGGCATCTTTGCACTGGTCTTCTCACCTTCAGATGAGGTGTGAGGAAGGGTCCTTCCTAGAAGATGGCCCAGCCTGATGCTGTAGGATTTGGAGTGTGGGGTTCTAAAAGGGACAGGGCCAGATACACAGACTGAAGGAGGGAGGTGGGGGGAGGGAAGGCTGGGGCAGGGGGTGGAGCCAGACCACCCCTCCCCCAACGGCTCCAGTCCAGAGCTCTGACCCCTTACTGGCTGGAAACATAAACACAATCACATCTGGACTCAGAGTGCCTTCCCCAGCCTCACACATCTGCCAAGGCCAAGGGACCCTGGTCTCAGTTGAAGGCAGAAGGCTAAGGAGACCTAGAAGGAGGTGTGACTGGAGGGAAGTGGGAAGCAGGAAACCTTCTTCTGAAAGTCAGGCCCAGATCCAGGTGAGAGAGGGGCCAAAGAGGGGCTCGGTGGAGACTCAGAGTGTCTGTGGGGCCACAAGCCAAACAGCTGCAGATGGCTGGAAGGGTATAAGCAGCCCACAATAACCCCACCATTCGTCAAGGACCATGGCCAACATGGTGAGTATAAGACCCAGCCTTAGGCTCCACCAGCTATCCTGACCTAGCTGTTATGTGGCTGGTACAGCAGATAGTATCCAGCCCTTTCTAGCTGCACCAGCTGCAAGATTATCTCTGTAGGAGGGGTTGAGGAATATATAGCGCTCTGAAAACCAAATCCTCTGAGAAAAGGCAGCAAGTCCTGCTCCTGCTCTGGCTGAAGAAGACCAGGGAGGGGGTGTCATTCATTCAGCCAACATTTACTATGTTTCTGCCCTTGGTGCTAACGGTTGAGCAGTGGAAAACAGACACAGTCCCTGCTCTCAGGGACAAGTAAACAAATGTGTATAATTACAAACTGGGCTGAGTGCTTTTGAAGAAGAAATGCTATAAGAAAAAATGAGTCCTGCTTTAAACAGGGTGATCATGGAAGGCTGTTCTAGGGAGGAAGTTTCGTCTTCAGTAGCAAATGCTATCATTTATTGAGCCCATTTGGGGCCCAGGGTCCTGTGCTAAGTGTACACTCCTCATCGATGAGCCCCTTTACCTGCACAACAACCCTATAAAGAAGGGTTTTCATTATCCCCTTTCCCTGATGAGGCCCCAAGGCTTAAACAAGTCAGGTCACTGGCCCAAGTTAACACAGCCGGAAGTAATGAGGTGGATTCAAACCTGGGCAATGCCCATTCTCTGCACTGGGCTGCCCCAAGCCAAGCACGTGGGCAACATGGGCTGGGTGGCGGGGGGTGGCTATGACCTTGAAGAGATCACAATTTCAGCTGGCAACATGAGACTAGCTCCGGGAAATAGAAGAGCAGATTTGTTTTTACCTGGTCCTGACAAAGTGACCCCCAAAGGGCTGCTGCAGGTTTAGGGGGGACAGGAATTAGGGGCAGAAGGGCAAGAGGCTGGTACCCAGCACTATCTGCAGGCACTGTGGGACACCAGAGGAAAATGGGATTAGCCACTGTGTGCAACCCCCAAGAGCCTGGCCATTGAAGGAGAGGTACTGAGTTACCTCCCCTAGATTTATGGCCCCAGCATCCAAGTAGAAGTCACAGCTAGAAGATCTGCCGTGGAGTGGGCATTGCCCATGGAGTCCAGGCCCTGGAGGGGGTTCTGTGATGCCCTTCAGCTCGCCCTGAGATAGGCAGCAGGGCCTCAGTCACCTAAAGGGCCAGTCTGGGAAATGAGAATCAGGGTGGTTTCATGGCCCTTGACCTCCCCATTTCCTGGGCCAGTCACTTGGCTCTGCTATCCCCAGGAACCTCTTAAGAGCAAGGGTTTGAGTTCTGGATCCACCTCTGAGTTGCCTTGGGCAAGAGACTTAATTAAGGTCTCTGAGCCTCTGTTTCCTCTTCCATAAAAGGGAATAACAACAGTCACTTCACACAGTTGTTTAAAGGATTAAAGAGATAATGCACATAGTGTTAATTGGGGTGCTGGTATTGTAAGTGCTCAATAAGTGATTATTATTGATGGCGGTGTTGTTGTTATTAAATATTATTTGGGGTCCAACTTTTCTGGGAGTCATGAATGTGAGTCATAATTGACAGTCCTGCTGACTTCCCCACCCACCTTCCTTCCATCCCACTCCTGGAACCATCCTAGACTTGGACTCAGTAACCCAGCCTGGGAGACCCAGAGGAATGGGGCCCAGTCCCTGCTGTGCGCTGGGTCTGGGGACAGGCAGGTCAGCAGTCAGTACTCTGTAAGGGCTCCCTGCAACGTGGGAGGAAGATGCTTGAACACTTCTTTTTGTGTTAATCATTTTATCAATAGCTAACATCAGGCCTTTACCAAGCGAGCCCCAATCCTCATACAAGCACTTTATAAGAATGACAGCCTTTCCTCCTCACAGGAGGGAGGGGATTATTCCTCTTACGCTGGGAAAAGGGGAGGCCCAGAGAGCACAGCTAATTTGGAGAATCTCTCTTCCTCCGTGCTGCCTAGGAGGTGGCAGCCATCTCTTACTCAGCGCCCTTGTGAAACCCAAGATCATCAAAGCAAAACCACCGTGAGACACACTGAACAGCCATTAGGATGGCTGCCCTCAGGCCCTTGTGAAGCCCAAGATCATCAAAAAGAGGACCAAGAAGTTCATCCGGCACCAGTCATACCGATATGTCAATTAACCCTAGCTGGTGGAAACCCAGAGGCATGGACCACAGTGCACAGAAGATTCAAGGACCAGATCTTGATGCCCAGCGTTGGTTATGGGAGCAACAAGAACACAAAGCGCACGCTGCCCTGTGGCT